AGTTAAGGTAACAGATAGTGAACACCAGGTAGGAGGTAGACGCAGCTGACAGATCTATAAAAGTAGGGAGGCGATAGATTTAGGGGAATAATAGTTAATAACTGGAAGGATATAGACTTAGGTGAAAGATTGTTAATAGCAGGAAGTAGATAGATTTAGTTAGAGATAGTTAATAGCAGGGAGGAGATAGACGTATGTGAAAGATAGTTAAAATCAGTTTGGAGATAAGAGTTAGGTAAAAGATTTTTAATAGTGGGGAGTAGATAGATTTCAATTACAGCTTGTTAATAGTAGGTAGGCTATTGTTAAAGATAACATGTAGTTAATAGTAGTGAGGAGATAGACTTAGGTAACAGATAGTTAATAGTATGAAGGAGATAGACTTATAGTTAATAGCAAACGGATTAAAAAGCCATTCTGGGGAGGAGGAGTTCAAGACACTGGAAAAAGAAAACAGCAATAGCTACAGAATTAAAATGTAAAGATAAATCACCGTGGTCTGACGGGATTTCCAGATTTCTGTCTTTTTTTTTGCCTGGGGTGGGAAGAACTTCTACACTACGACTGTCGCATCTAATTAAACTCATCACACATTTATTAATAAAACTTGCCTTTTTTTAAACATTTGAATAGCAAAATTAATTAAAACGAGAAAGATACATTAAAAACAACACACACACAAATGGTCTTTTTCTTGTTTGTTTCTAATAAAAAAAGTGTGTGTGAGTGGGTGGGTGGAAGCGATGTGACCAAATCTTGAAGCCTAAAATGAGGAAAAAATGACTGATTCCCTAGCAATTAGTTTTCTCTAGTCAGATCGCTCTATGATGCCATCAAGGTGTTCAGTTCTGTGTTGCTTGAAAAGGTTTTTTTCTTTTCATTTTTCTCAGCAGCACTCAGAAATGGGGATGAGCTTGATAAAGTTTGGCTGCAAACATCTTTAAAGGCGAAGTAGACTTTCGCTTATGCCTGGCTGCAAAGCAGCCCTATATCTCGTCCGCCTTGTCACTAATCTGATTATCTTGCAACGGTATTAGCTTTACTTCAACAGCTACCAAACTAAAAAAAGAGTTGTAATTTGTATGTATGTATATACATTTATGTGATAATTTAATTGTTTACCACTTTTTTTCCCCACAAAGGCTTTATCATGGAGTTATGGATCTCCAAACCTTGCACATATATCCACCATGATCAAGAATCAAATACTGGGAGGTTATGAATTTTTTTAACATTCCGTTTGAAGCCGGGGGCCCTAAATTCTTTTTTTTTCTTTCAAGATTTATATAAATAAAATTAATAAATACACCTGCAGGAATAGATGGAATTTTGACCAAACTTAACACAAACACACTTGATTAACCAAATTCAAATACCCAAATGTACCTCAACTCATAATATGCCTTCCTCTGGGGTCGGGGACCCACTTTAATTTTTCCTTTTTCCTATAAGATTTATAAAGATCAATTGGCTTAATACTCCTACTTGAGTAGGTGGATCTTGACCAAACTTAGTACACATACACTTGATTATCCATATCCAAATATCAAAGTGCACTGAACTCATAATGCCCTCTGGGGACGGGGGCTCCATTTTATGTTTCCTTACATATGCTATATGAATATCAATAGGCTTAGACAACACTATAGGCAATATGTGAATTGGTGGATTTATGCCTAACTTGCTAGCCATAACCTCCATTGTTCGTATTGACATATCACTGGATTTAAAACTAAGAATATCCAATCTAGAATTTTGCAGAAAGTTCGATTATTGTAAAAAGCTATATCTGTGGCATTTTAAAGTAGACTTTAAAGAGGCAAATTTTAAATTTATTATTTATCTGTCTGACTTTTATAGGCCCCCCTATCTCAGGCATAACTATATCGGTACAGTTATGGAATGGGCCCCCTGACACCTCACTGGAATGGGACCCCTGACCACTCAATTACCTTAAAAGAAAAAGGATTATAATTAGGCCATTTGTGGAAAGTTTTTATCGTATTCGAATTTTTTTTGAAAAATAGTTTTTTACACATGTTTCAAGCATTTTATTAAAGTTAATCTAGAAGAGTCCAGAAAGTTCTAAATTGTTCTATAAATATTTAGTGCGATCTAATGTATTATTGAAATTAGGACAAGATATATATAAAATCTTGTCCTATTCTTACAAGTGTTCATTTAAAGAGGAAACTGAGCTCCAAAAAATTATCATATCCACATACCGATTGCACTCTGAATAGTTACGTCCACAAAAGTTAACATAGTGCGGGTCATCATATGCATTCTCTCCCATTACAGCAAAAATGAGGATCACCAGAGCTTTGGTCAACAATGTCGCCATGGTCAACTGTAAAGAATATGACGTGTAACTTGTGTTAACTCTACGAATAATCAGCAACTAATACTTATAGTAAGACTTGGGTGTTAAATCTCATCTTTCAGTTAAGCGTCAAGAAAAAAAAAAACTTCGTTGACTTCAGAGGCGTAAACATTGACCAGTGTAAAATAATTTTTTGACCTGCCGTTGTAGAAATAAACAAATAAATAAATGAAGGGACTGCTTTCAAGCTATGTAAAAGAATGAAATAGTGAAACGAGGTATGTGGAAGCTTGAAATAAGGTAACAGGACAAAAAACAAGGACGTTTCGGCATAAAGCCTTCATCAGCCAACAATAGAAATGAAAATACAACAAAGAAAAGAACACAGTAGAAAACTCAAGCAGTATTCATTCGTCTCTCCGGAAGTGGGAAAACAGGAAGCGAGAGAATATAAATATTGACACTGTGTACAATAATAATGGACCAGAATATCCAGGGATACATCAACAAACAGCAATAAGAAAATAGATGAAATATAGGGAAACGGAGAAACATCAGTAGGATATTATTTGATTAATACCATATATAGAAATAAACAGAGGAGCTCGAGGGTTAGTTATGAGTTCCCAATATGAATATTTCATGACGTTCATTGTAAGTAACTTTCTTTAAAGGAATAAGACCCAAAAATGTTTTTTAAAAGTTAAATAAAATACATTATTTTGGGGGGAAAATTGGGGTGGGGCTGATTCTCTTGTTTATTGGGGTGGGTGGGAGAAGACGGTGCTATGTAAAAAAACAAACAACTTTTGTTTTAATTCGTCCTTTCATTTCTTCGTGATATAATTATTTGGATTAATGGAAATTTGCCATATTTTTGGGGATTAATGAACAAATGCTATATTAATTAAGAAAAATGAAAATTTATATAAATTGGGCCATAAACAATCTGCTAAGTTACTTAAGATAAATGAAAATCTGCAATGTTAGTTGGCATAAAGGAAATTATGATATATTAATTGGCATAAAAGGACTTATGCTATATTAATTGGTAAAATTGAAAATCTTCTTTATTTATTGGTAAAAATAAAAATCTGCAATCAAAGAATTTTTAATATCCTATGTCTGACAAAAAGAAGTATAATATTGTTCATCCTGAAAATATGTTTGTCTCAATAATTTACAGAAAACAAGAAATGCGTAAGAAGATTGTCGTAAACTGTATAAATGCGCCCCTGAATTTAATTTTTTTCAGTCTTGATTTTTTAAAAATAAGGCATTCCAATATTCACAACATGGGAACAAAAGCTCTGACATATTGAATTGTTTTTCTACCACTGTATGTATATTGATTTATGTAGAATAGTTGAACTAAAATTAAATCGAGTCCGTGCGTCTAATTGAAATAGGGTGCAGCTATTCGGACCCGGGTCCAAGAAGCTAGAGTTTGAGTTTATTTAAAAAACATTTAAAAATTATTGTAGGGTTTGTAAGACAAAATTATTAACAAATGAAACATAATTGAATAAAATATATGTTTGTAAACGTTCTTCTTAAGTTTAGCTAAAATAATCTACAACAAAAGACATCAGAATAGCATTTAGTCACAACGGAACCGGAAACGCATCGTCGCTATTCGGACCCGGGTCCCTTTAGTCTCAATGCTATTCGGATGACATTTGTGGTAGTTTTTTTTAGTTAAACTAAAGAATTAAGTTTACAAACATATAGCCTATTCAATTATCTTTCATTTGATACCAAATTTTGTCTTACAACTGAACAATAACATTTGAAAAAAAAAATTAATCTCAACCTTTAACTTCTCGGGCCCCGGTTCGAATAGCCACTTCGTTAGAATTAAGTTTAGTAAATTCATTAAACTATTAACATTCCTGCATCTGGTTCTGAGCTGAAGATTTTCTAAACTGACTCTGTCATCTGTGAGGAGGTTTATACTTGACCTTTTTTACTTAATCTGCAACTGATTATCATCAGTGAAAGTTTATGGAAAAAAAATGTTATAATCAACACATTTGTCCATTTTAATTTCTGATTGAAGACGCTAGGAAACAGGGATTGAAAGATCAACTGAGAGGAAGAAAGTGGCGAGACAGACCAAAGCCTTAAATGTACTGTAGTGCCACAGAGGTAAATAGATGGATCGTCTGATTTGAAGAAAGTGGTGATGCAGGGCAAGGTCCGACATGGCTCTAGTGTCACAGGGGTGAATGGATGGATCGTCTGATTTGAAGAAAGTGTTGAGGCAGGCCAATGTCCTATATAGCTCTAGTGCCACAGGGGTGGATCGATTTTTTGAGTTGAAGAAAGAAGTGAGACAGACCAATGTCCTGTATGGCTGTAGCGCCGCAGTGATGGATGGATTTGAAGAAAGTGGAGAAACAGACAAAAGTCTTCCGTGGACTGTAACGCCACTGGGTTTGGTGATTATAATTTATTACTTGTTTAGACGACAACAACAACAACACGGGAAAAAACCCGAGCTCTGACCCCCCAACGACACCTTCCCTGACACTACGACATTTGTACATACGGTCAGTTAACAAACATTTTCTAAAGCAGTGGTTCTCAACCTGTAGGTTGCGACCACTTTGGGGGGTCGAATGACCTTTAAGTAGGGGTCACCTAAATCCATCGGAAACCACATATTTTATGAAGCAGCATCGACAAGAAGTTAATAGTTTGGGGGGGGGGATAACCACAACATGAGCAACTGTATTAAAGGGTCGCGCCATTAGGCAGGTTGAGAGAAACACTGATCTAAGGGGTTGAACCAAAGCTAGAGCAACCGGAAAAAAAATGCATTAGGTGACCTATTGGGAAGGGGGAGAAAGAGAGAGTGAGAGAGAGAAAGAGAGAGTGAGAGAGAGAAAGAGAGAGTGAGAGAGAGAAAGAGAGAGTGAGAGAGAGAAAGAGAGAGTGAGAGAGAGAAAGAGAGAGTGAGAGAGAGAAAGAGAGAGTGAGAGAGAGAAAGAGAGAGTGAGAGAGAGAAAGAGAGAGTGAGAGAGAGAAAGAGAGAGTGAGAGAGAGAAAGAGAGAGTGAGAGAGAGAAAGAGAGAGTTAGAGAGAGAAAGAGGGAGTGAGAGAGAGAAAGAGAGAGATCGTCAAACAATACGGATTAAGGCAGAAATCATGGCCGCTTTCAAAGCATTCCATGAGAATCGGAACCCCTCTATCGGTAATAGGTAAAGAGGCCTAAGACGGTATTCCCCCCATAGTGTTTTTCCAATGTCTGACAGCTCTCCGCGGCCCTCACGTGGCTTGTCCGTGCCACACGACACAAGCTATTGTCAGAAGTAGATTAAAAATTATCAAACTGCAATTAGAGAGAAGACAACGTAAATCAGCCAGCATTAAATTAAAATATTTTTTTAAAATCCCCTCTCGCTCATTTGCTCATCGTGGATAGTAACAAATTAGTTTTGACATGTAAACGAAATTAATTCTCAAGATAATTTATAAATCCGGCACCGGTCCTCTGGTGTACTGGGCATCTTATCCACAGGGCCGCCAAGCATAAAACCTTGAGAAACACACTGGCCTAAAATGTGGTCCAGCAAGAACATTTCTAAACGCGAAATTCATTTCGCCCAGGAATGACTACATACATGCTTGAATAAAAGGGATGAAATAAACGCCCGGTTGTAATTTATTTAACTTCAACCCATAACCACCCCCCTACACATACACATACAAAACAACTTTCCCTGAAAAGTCGTAGTTAAAGAGTTCATTATTCATATGCAGCGGTTCGCCTTTCACAAGTCAAGACGAATGACTGCACTTCCAATGTTGATGTAGGGAGACATAAATGCAGTAAACGTCAACATTAGATGACGTGGAGAAGATCGCTTATTGTCGTTCAGAGACAGTGTCAACCATTTTTTTTAATACTGTTCAGCTAGGAACTTTGCATTGGGTACGCTATTTATTGTTTTGTCGATATCACTGTGTAAAAATTAAAACGATCGGTAGATCTAATCCTATCACAGGGCCAGCTGTCGACAAATGTTAATGGATTGATTTTGAACCCAAACCAGGGACCCGTAGGACTGGTTCAATAAGTATACCAGGGGGGGCACTAAAAGTATACCAATGGAGGGAAAGTATACGAATGGGGAAATGTATACCAATGGGGAAAAGTATACCAATAGGGGAAAAGTATACCAACGGGGTAAAAAGTATACCAAAGGGTGAAAAAGTATAACAATAGGCCCAAAAGTATATACATTGAGGCCAAAAGTATACCCATTCAGTGGCGCCCAATTTTGTTGCTGATAGATGCCGAATAGTCTGAAATGAAACCCCCCCTTTCCCCACGCCAACCCAAAATGCGTAAAACGAAGTTAAAAGATAAATTCTTTTCATTTTAGTTGTATACATAAAATCCGTTTTCAAATGTATAATTGTGAGATGCGTTTCATCTCCATCATATCCTAACAAAATGCATTTTCGGCAAAACACGGACAGATACTCTTAAAATGGCGACGACACACTTAGATCTCTTGGCCGTTTCAATTGTGGCTTGCCTGTGATCATGGCCGTGATTCAACCGTTACTGCAAGCATGGAAATATCAACTTTTATGATTCGTAAAACAATTGAGGTTTTACCAATGTTATACTTATGATCGCCTCTGTTGCAGGCTATCAACTATGGGATACGCAGTTCGACGGCCTCGGTAAGTTTGGGGCTAATGATTAAACAAATCAATGATCAATAATGACATATGGTTCAATACTGGGGGGAAAAAGCAACACCAACAACACCAACAACACCAACAAAAGCAGCAGCAGCCATGTCTTCTTTCATCTGCTTTCTCTTTGTGATGCCATCACTACTAAAAAAACCCTCCTAACAACCAACGTCATCTTTCCTAGTCAAATACATCACGAATGCAAAGCACATCGCAGCCGCTGCTCGATTAAATCTCCAGTCCAAAACACGGACTACCATTAACAATCTGCCGTAATAGCTAGGATCTAGACTAATCTTTTAATGTGTCTGATTTTTTCATTTCGAATCGTATAAAGTCTCTCGGCTATATAGTAGAACACAATCTCATATGTATATATATATATATATATATATATATATATATATATATATATATATATATATATATATATATATATATATATATATATATATATATATATA